CTTAGGTGTGTCAGAGTCATGTAGCGAATGTGTTCGTTCAGATTCTGATGCCAGATCTTTCCTGATCAGACTGATGTCCTTGGATCTGATACGTTGCATTGATGAATTGTCCATGCTAAGAACTATGGTGGTTTTCTACAGAAACCTTTGATTCACATTTGTTTCAGTGTTGGTTGTGCTGGCCAGTCTCATTATGTAAACTATTTTTTTGTATATTTATTGATGTCCTACAAAGACCGTTCACTTCCTCTGTCAAAGCTGCAGTTTGTTACAAGGTGAGAGGAGATAAAATAATTTGCTCGTCTTCTAAAGACCAGGGTGAACACAGGAAACAGGAAGTTTCTCACACTAAAATAGCATCATGCTACAGGCTTTATACCTTAAAAAGATTTAGCAGCATGTTTGGAGAATAGAGGCTGAAACAGTTTTTTTTTTTTTTTTTTTAATTATCTTTGTTGCTGGTGAAGATTCTCAGTCATCCAGGACATGATGAATTCAAAAAGCGTTCAATACAAAAACAACTGGACTTTATTTGTAACAGAAGATGTTTCGCTCCTCATCCGAGGAGCTTTGAATTGAGAAAACTCCTCGGATGAGGAGCGAAACGTCTTCTGTTACAAATAAAGTCCAGTTGTTTTTGTATTGAACGCTTTTTGAATTATCTTTGTTCTTATCACCAAACAGAGCTGTTGAACATTTTCAATTAAAAAATCTGATTAAACTAATTTCAAACATTGCTTCTGTCACTTTTGTATATTATGTACAGAAGAAACTACTGATGGTAAAAAAGGAGCATCATCTTCCAATATACAGTTCATGGATTACAATACATTATAGTAATCACTGGGTCTTAAAATGAATATAATCTCAGATTAAAACAACAAATGATGTGTCGCACTGTGTCATTATTTATTAAAAACATGCACATAATCCGTGACAAAACACCCATAATTCAGCTGTTTGTAGAAACGCCTCATTTATAGCTCTGCTTAGGAGCCACCAGCGCATATAATTCAGTTCAGTTTATTTATATAGCGCCAAACCACAACAAAGTTGTCTCAGGGCACTTTACAGGAACATTTAAATTTAACATTTAAATGCGGTTCCTGTAAGTCTGATCTTTACTGAGTCAGGAGGACCTTTATTCACGTCTATTGAAACCAGTCTGGTGTGGAGTTACTCGTGTTTTGGGAATCATCATCCTGTTTTGTATCCTTGTTTTAGCCAAACTACAGGTGCCAAACAGAGAACAGAAGACCTCAAGTCTGGGTTTTAGTCCTACATGTTGAGGGTCTTATACAAGTTTATGATGAGTCAATGACTGCAGAACAATCAGGTCCTGTGGCTGCAAAATAAAACAGACCAAATCATGATCCCTCCGCCACCGTGCTTAACAGTTTGTACGAAGCCTTTGTGCTGATATACGTATTATTTTTAGATCAACACATCACAGCAACAAAACAGTCAAACATCTCACCATTGTTGAATGTTTTCAACTATTGACTCAACCTCATGATATTTATTAATGCTGTTGCTCCTCTGATATATTTAATTTATTTTAGGACCTGGTAAAACCCAAGTGAGCACCACTTTACAATAAGGCTCCCCTTATAGATGACTAATAGTTTATATATATATATATAT